TTTTTATTCATTTTGAGGAATACTGAATCTGTGTTTTTTTTTTTGTGTGTGTGTGAGATGAATTAATGCATATTCATATTTATTATAGAACTACAGTAACATCTGATTTCTCTGAACATGGGGACAGGACAGTTGTCAATCAATAAATTAAAAAAAAAAAGTAACTTGCGTTACTTATTTGAAAAAGTAACTCAGATATTCTCTTGTAAACTAAAAAAGTAATGCGTTACTTTACTAGTTACTTGAAAAAAGTAATCTGACTACGTAACTCGCGTTACTTGTAATGCGTTACCCCCAACACTGTTCATTTTCATTTTAATGTTACATTAAACATTATTTTTCATCTCATTAAAGCTACATGCACATATTGCAAAAGAAATGCTGTTTTTATTTGTATTTATTAGTTATCATTTTTATTTTCATTTCCAGTTTTCATTTTAATTTTAGATCTAGTCTTTTTTGCACTTTTTATTATGGTAAAATTTTAATAGAATATTTTTTATAAATGAATAAAAAACAAAGAAACAAAGAAAAACAAAATGTATTTTCTTTTCATTTTACTGTTGAAAACCTTTTTTTTTTTTTTTTTTTTTTTAAGTCATGAACTGTCCTGTACTTTTGAAGGGGGGTAACAGTGGTTATTTTCACAGCTTTAACTTCAGTAGCTCACTTAAACTCACTCCTCCAGTGGGTACGCCGTCCTGAGGCTCCGCTCAATGACGTTTGGGAGTCATTTCTGCATATCTGTGTGTCTGGATGAACTGCGTGTGAAGCATTGTCTGAATACGGCAGCCTGAAAAGACAGTTGTTTAGGCAATGTATAGTGCAGGAAACTAGTGATTCTTGTAGAGTTTGACATCAACATGTTAAAAACACTATTTTTCTCCAGTATCAAACTACTTGAACATGTCAAAACGCTTCTGTGCTTGCATGCGAAGTAGGATTCATTTTAGTGAATCAGTTCGTTCAGATGATTCAGTTCAGTGAACTGGTTTGAAAAAAGATTTGTTTGCATTTTATCAGTTCTGTTTAGTGTTTATGAATCTGTTCAAGTGTATTGCCGCCACTTTTATTGTTTCTGTGCCACTTAAACACTGCTGATCACAACAATCATGTATATTATCTGGTAGTTTTAGATATTTGTGTCCCTGGAGCACAAAAGCAGTGTTAAGTCGCTGGGGGATATTTGTAGCAATAGCCAACAATACATTGTATGGGTCAAAATTATACATTTTTCTTTTATGCCAAAAATCATTAGGATATTAAGTAAAGATCATGTTCTGTTTAGTGTTTATGAATCTGTTCAAGTGTATTGCCGCCACTTTTATTGTTTCTGTGCCACTTAAACACTGCTGATCACAACACTCATGTATATTATCTGGTAGTTTTAGATATTTGTGTCCCTGGAGCACAAAAGCAGTCTTAAGTCGCTGGGGGATAT